GGCGCACTCTCCAGTGCGCCACCAGGCCGGCCCGTAATGTCACTTTTGAAGATGTAATTGGTAAACGTGTTTCATATCATCACTTAAAAAGATTTGTCAGAAAGTTTGGGGAGCAAAACGTGGGTGTTAGTAGATCCACTAACTTTCAAAAGTTATTCTTTACTAGTTCTTGTTTAAAAGCTGATAGAGTCTTTATTTTATAAGAGAAGAAAACATATCTCTGCTTATTCAGATTTCCCTAATTCTTGCCTATATTATCTTCTGGCTAACATTACTTAACAAATAAAGTTGGGAAAGTAATTTCATTTTCACTATTTTTCTCTTCCGTCACTATTGTTCTGAAGGCAATGTAGAAAAACTCTAAAAATTTACTAGTTGGAGAATAGTCTTTCCAGTTTAAATCAGTTCTTCTGGCCTGATAGGATTCTGTGTAGTGAGTACAGATGTATAATGACAGTCCAGAAGCCAGCACAACCTCTTGGGTACTTGGTTTGGTTTTTAAAGTGTTAGTCTACCTTTTAGGCGTGCATTTTTAAAGCTTGATCTTGTCGTAAAATCATGTGTTAAGCCTCTCTTCACTGAGAGGGTAGAGGATTAGTATTTCATACAATTACAAACTTGATTATAACCATTAAGTAAGTTATCATCTCCATAGCCAACTTATTAATCATTAGTATATGTGAGAACTGTTCCTGTAGCCCTCGTTGAAGCAGTTTTATTTTTATAGAAAGCACTGCTTTAATGCTTGACATTTGTGAAGTTTATATATTTAAGAAAATAATATGTACAGTATGATTCAAATTGTGTTAAATATATGTCAGATGTTTGTGTAAAGGATTGGGGGAAAAAGGACTAAAAGTAAAATAACAAAATGTTAATTGTGTTTGTCTTTGGATCGCAAGACCTTATGTTAGACTTAAATTTTTTTTTTCCCTTTTTTTGGGCCATGAATATGTAATCACGAAAAAATGTATGACCCCACCATGTAAACACACACACACACACACACATACAAATTATGATCAAAAAAGAAAATTTTCTTTAAAAAAAACAGAAAACTTTCTGATAAATTCTTAGTGAGACACCCAAATCTTTGCAGAGCAAGAAGTGTCTATCCCTCAATTGTAGAGGGAAAAACCTCTTAGATACAGTTGTCAGAAAATGGAGAGTTATTCCTATAAGCTTATAATCTGCTTATGGCATTACAAAGGCACTTGAGGTGATAGTGATGATGAAAGTCTCTTAAAGATAGAAAATTGGAGGAAAAAGCCCATGAGTATCAAAGTAGGACTGCAGGCTGTCTTCTAGAATACTGGAAAGTAAGGTTTTTGTTTATGTGTTTTTTGCCTGCTAGCATTTTTTTCCCCATTCACGATGAAATTAGCTGTATTGCAGTCCATGAGAAGAATATAAATTCTTACAACTTAGACCGTGTGCTTTATGGAATTAAAAATGTCAGTGAGAACAGAGTACAATATTTAGCCACTAAAATATCAGTATCAGAGCGTATTTGAGCAACACAGAGACAACTTACCAAACTCTCATCCCTTATATCTGTTTTGCAGTTCACAAAATGCCCTCATATGCCTTAACTTACTTCATTCTCAAATACTTGAGATTGAAGATATTCCCATTTTCAAAATGGGAAAACCTGTGCAACACCATGAGTTAACCAGAGCTGGAATTAGAATGAATTTATTACATCTTTTGCAACTTTAAGTAACTCTATTTTTTAAATTTTTATATTTTTTGGTGGCTAGCTGGTAAGGGAATCCAAACCCTTGACCTTAGTGTTATCAACACTGCGCTCTAACCAACTGAGCTAACCAGCCAGCCTATTTGAGTATACTTAATGTGCCAGTGATGAGTACTCTCTAGAGGCCGAGGTTAGAGAATTGAATAAGATGGAATTTCCACACGTTTGTATACCTGGGCCTCCCTACTCCATTGGTTGTCAGAGTTCTCTCTTCTTGCACTTAACTGAGTTGGGCAAACCATGTGATCTGGAGCCTCATCAACACCAACAGTGTCTTGGAAAGGACAGCAGCCACTGAGTACTCTGGCTTCTGGGGTCCAGAGACTCAAACCTGAATTGGGTTTCAACCCCACCCTAGTGAGAAGCCCCTTGCTGCACCTCCCCTCAGACTATAGCCTTCTTCAAATAGCATCTCTGTCTACATGGCCATCCCTGCCTGACCAGGGGTCCAGGGCATGAGGATGTAGGATTCCTCATCCTTTGGTCCCAATCTTTCCACTTTTGTGTGAGTTCAAAGGCTAGACTTGAAATTAGGCCTTGGGCAATATTAGAATGTTAGGTAACTGTGCCACTGCCTGCAGGCAAGAGATTGTCCCCTACCATTTTGGGCAACTATTTCTAGGAAACTAGAGGTTAGTTGCACTGAAAATAGAAAAGGTACTCTCAGAGGCCTTTGAGTAGTGAAGAAAGGGCTAATCCTGTTTCCCTAGAAAGTATGTAAGCAGCCTGTCTTGAATTTTCTAAATCATCAGAACCAGTACTACATGTGGGGGTCGGTGGGAAGAGTAAGAATGTTGTGTGTCTGATAAAACTGGTAGCTGGATGCTTTCCCAATATTCAGCAGTTGATATTTTAGTTGGAGAGGCTTTCTTTTGTACTGAAGTTGTTTCCTGTAACTGCCCTTTCCAACTAGGTAAAGGTGAGTTGATGACATGCTAAGCATTCTCTCCACCACTTACTGCCATCACATTTTAATATTTATAAGGGAGGAAATAAATCTGAGATGCACTGAAGTTTTTTTGGTTTTTTGTTTTCATTGCCACTATTAGCTCAATTTTTTGATTGCTAGTTTGCAGACCTAAACCTAGATTCTTGCAAAACTGCCTGGTATGTTAATTAAAATAGTCATTTCTTTTACATGTTTCAGTTTACAGTGCAGGCGAGAAGGGAAAAAAATTATATAGTCACATATAGTAAAAGAAAGATGAAAGTAGATTTCATTCATTTATTCTGTAACAAATTTTGAGTGTCTCTTGTATTCTGGCCATTGTTCTTGTTGTGGTAGATTCAGCAGTGAGCAAGATGGACAAGGAATAGAAGAGAAACTTCCTTAGGAGGTGAGGGAAGGGGAACAGATGTACAGCTGAAGAGTGACTTGGTGGGAGATAGGCTGGGGGAAGAATTCAGGTGCTCAGAGAAGGGCTCCCTCAGATCTTGCATTTGAACTAAAACATGATCACGCAAAGTTGCTATCCTTGTGAAGATCTGGGAAAAGAATATTCCAGACAAAAGAAACAGCAAAGGTAATAGCTTTCAGTTAGGAATGAACTTGGTGTGTACAAAAAACAGAACGAGCTTGAGAAAAAGGAGGGAGAAGTCATTCAAGTAAGATTTGAAGGCTGGGATCATGAAGGCTCTGGGGGCACTGGTTAGGATTTTGGATTTTATTCTGAGCACAGTGGGAACCGTTAGGGGGCTTTACACAGAAGAGTGACATGATCTGACAGAGTATGTACTGTAAGGACAGTAGATTGTGGACAGCAAGAGCAGAAACAGGAAGACCAGTTAGGTGGTTACTGCAGTGACTCAGCTGAGAGATGACAGTGGCTTGGACCAGGGTGGTGATGACAGGAACTCAGGCCCTTTTGTGAGTAGGAGTTTCTCTGATTTCCTATATACTTTTTCAATGCAGTATTTAGAGTTAATAAGCTTTACATTTGAATTTAAATAAAGTAACATTTTTCTGGCCTGTAAGGGGATCCAAACCCGTGACCTTGGTGTTATAAGGCTGCACTCTAACCAACTGAACTAACTGGCTAGCCCAATAAAGTAACATGTTGAACTAGCATATAGTTCTATGATTTCTAGGGACTTTTTTTTTTAATTACTGAAGTTTCTGGCAATTAAATAACGACTCTAAAACATTTAATTTCTTTTTGGCTTACTTCTGTGTACATGGTCTACCTAAATCTATAATGTGTATCATAGTATTTGCTAAAAGTTCTTTATAGTTGTTTATTAAAACATTTATTGTCTTATTACAAAAGCATTACTGCAGAAAATACAATAAAATATAAAGGAAAAAAACTTATGATCACACTATCCAAATAAACATTTTATTTTGTTTCCTTTCAGCCTTTTTTCTGTGCATGGAAATATTTATTTCCAAGTTGTTATTTTTTTAAAGAAATAAATTTTGCAAATAATAGTTTTCATGAGAAGTCGTAGTTAAGTGGTTTGCTTCATTTACATTTTTGGTAACATTCTTTAAAGCTGCTAAAGTGGCTCAGCTGAGAGATGACAATGGCTTGGACCAAGGTGGTGATGACAAGAGCTCAGCCGAAAAGTCATCTTAAGGTTAGGTATTTATCACGTAACTCTGATGTGCTTTATTTGCATTGTCTGTGTCTTCAGCCAGCTTTGGAATCAGATCCTTAAAATGCTCATCAAGCAAAAGTCATGGATTATTCCCAGAGTTCAGTTTTTTTTCCTTTTTTGGCCTTGTTCTTTTCTCAGAGCTGTAACTTGGTAAGCTTTACCAGAATCCGCCATTCTAATCTTCAGGTGATATGAATTAAATATGTTAGTTTGTTCACTAACTCTTAGATTGCTTCTGTGATTTATGGTGAATTATTTCAGCTTATAGCAGTATCTTCTAAATATTAGAAATGTTAGAAATATCTTCTAAAATTTCTTAGAACTGTCTTAGCTCATAACTATAAAAGTGTATTCAGGAAAATAAAAATTCTTTTGGTAATGTATTTCTCCTGAATGCAGGCTAAAATGTAATGATGATTCTTGGTGATTATTTTGCAGACCTCAAAGGAAGACCTTCTGCAGGCTGATTTTGAAGGTGCTTTAAAGTTCTTCAGAGTTCAGCTACCAAAGCGATACAGGGCAGAGGAAAATGCAAGAAGATTGATGGAACAGGCTTGCAATATTAAAGTAAGATATATGAATTCATACATAATAAAGGTGAAATTTAAATGCAGAATAACATGGCAAATTATGTAAAACTTGTTCTACATGTTGCAGGGTTTTGACTATATTTAAGATGGTATTGCATATGAACTAATCTCTCCCAGACATTTTTGTCAGGCTAGTATGTAAATTGTAGCTTAACTTTCTAGTAGGACTTGAGTGTCAGTCGGCAGGTTCAGATTTTAACAATAGGGAGACAAACATTTGTCTTATAGGTGGGGTTCTAGAATGGGCTGTTGTGATGGTTTCCATGGAAGCAGACTTACTATTTAGCTTTTGATATCTGTTTTAAGATTATTCAGGACAAAGCAAAGAAAGCCTACATAGGGTGATGCTTTTGTTTCTCTAAGGGACTTGGAAAGTTTGTCTTGATCTGCCCATTCCCATCCCACACCTGCCATATGTCTATGGATACATATCATGAGTCCATGTCATATGTTTGATAAAACTAAACAAATTTTATAAGTTAATTTCAAATTGAAAACTCTATCCAGGAAGTTGTGGTATTCAGGTGAGAGAGTGTACTTTTAGAAGACTTGGAACCAATTTACTGATGTTAATTCTTGAACTTCTGTAATATATTAGGGGATCTTCTTACTTAGCCATAGCATAAATATAAATTTGTTTTCTGAATAAACAGAGAAGCTGGTCAGTTAGTTCAGCTGTTCAGAGCATGGTGCTGATAACACCAGTGTTCAGGGTTCTTACACTGGCCCTGTACCAGCCAGCCACCAAAAAAACCCCAAAACAAAACATAAACAAAGATCCCAGTCTTATGGACCTTACATTCTTGCTGAAGGAAACAGACAATAAATAACATATTGGGGGGCTGGTCAGTTAGCTCAGTTGGTTAGAGTGCACCCTTATAACACCAAGGTGAAGGGTTTGGGTCCCTGAACCAGCCAGCTGCCCTCCCTCAAATTAACATATTTAATATGTTAGAAAGTGATAAATAGCTAAGAAAAAAAAGAAAAAGGGAAAGATAAGGGAGATTGGATTGGTGGGGGGAGGGAAAGCTGTTATTATATAGTCAGGGTAGATCTCACTGAGCTGATGAAGAAGATGAGAGGTTAGTTATAGAGATGTCTGGGGGAAGAGCATTCCAAGCAGAGGCAACAGCCAGTTCAAGGGCCCTGAGGCTGGCTCATGCCTGGTGATTTTGAGGAACAGTAAGAAGGCCAGTGTAGTTGAAGTGAAGTGAATGAAGTGAGAATAGCAGGACAGAAAGTTAGAGTTCTTAAGCCAGAAAATGCAAGCCATTGTAAGGATTTAGACTTTGAGTGAACTGGGGAGCCCTTGAAGGGTTTTGAGTGGATGAATGATATGATCTGTCTGAGGTTTTTAGAGAATCATGATGGCTGTTTTGTTAAGAATAGATCATAGGAAGGTAAGAGAAGTAGGGAGATTAGACAGGAGATTTTGCAGTAATCCCATTGAAAGACGATGATAGATTAAACCAGCTTGATAACAGTAGAGATAGAGAAGGAGGTGGTTGGAACCTGGATTTATTTTGAAAGAGAACCAACAAAATTTCATGATGTACAGGTAAACGTGAGTGTGAGAGGTAAAGAGAAGTCAAGATGGTTCCGTAGATTTTGAACTAAGCAACTAGATGATAGCAGTTCCATCAGCTTGTTAAACTCATTACATAAGTGTACTTTGACACAGATTTCTTTTAAGCACCATACCCATTGCAACACTTTTTTGGCATAACACTTTTGTTTTGAATTTTAACCTATTTTATTTGTTTTTTGGGTTTTGTTTGTTAAGGGCTGGCCAGTCGGGGATCCTAACAAACCCTTGACCTTGGTATTATAACACTGTGCTTTAACCAGCTGAGCTATCTGGCCAGCCCTTAACCTATATTAAAGTAAATTATAAATGTTAAAAAGTATAATTCAATGCTGAAAGTAAATAGCTGAGCAGGAAAAAAATTATGGTCTTTCAAATAAACTCTGTATTCAAAGATAATTTTCTATAGATATCAAGAAAGATGGGCCTCTGAAATCTTAATCCTGAAATACAAACTCTTTAAAGCTTTAAAACTGATTATTTTATTTGGCTCTGCCAAATGAATAAGCCTAAACCATGTGTGTCTGTAGACTTTGAAAGTACATTCCAGTGGGCATAATGTCTTTGATTAAATTTTGTGATTGGTGAGTTTGAAAGGTAGGCTTCAGCCAGTTGATTGTTCCAGAGATGCCAGAGACAATTACTGTAAGCAGGGGCAATGCTATAGCAATCTGTTGAAATAAAACATTTATTTCTAAGAATAAAAGAGTAGAAAAAAAACAGGGTACATTGAGGACCAAAAAAAAAAAAAAAAAAAAAAAAAACCCCCAGGAAAATGATCCAAAAATATAAAGTTTATAGAGAAAGATTTTTTTCCCAATATAATTTATGAAGTTCCTCAGAGGATGGAGGTAGTTAATAATCGTCAATCCAGAAACATGGGATCAACAAATGCAGAAACGTAAAATGTTAGAAAACAAGTTCAAAATATGATCTGAATGGACTGGTCCTAGAAAGAAGTGCTGTGTACAATCAGAATGATTTATGTGGGTTCCTCAGAGGATGGAGGTAGTTAATAATCGTCAATCCAGAAACATGGGATCAACAAATGCGGAAACGTAAAATGTTAGAAAACAAGTTCAAAATATGATCTGAATGGACTGGTCCTAGAAAGAAGTGCTGTGTACAATCAGAATGATTTATGTGTACATGAACAGGTCGATATGAATATTTTTAAAAAGGTTTTAATAATTAAAAAATTTAATAATGTAAATAATTTAATACTTTTTTAAAGTTTTAATAGGTTTTCTGTGGGGTTTTTTTTTTTTTTTTGGCATTATCTAAGGAGAGTGCCTTTGTCTTAGATATTTAAAACAGTACCCAAAGGATACCATTTTAATTTATAACTTAATGATTGTCGGGGCTGGCCAATTAGCTTAGTTGGTTACAGCATAGCTTTATAACACCAAGGTCGTGGGTTCGGATCCCCATACCAGCCAGCTGCCAGAAACAAAAACAAAAACAAAAACGTGTAACAAAAAAAATAGTATGTATATATGACTTGTGATTGTGGAGTGGATGATTGTGAGGCAAATGTGAAGTGAAACCAAAAGAAAGAATACATTATGTACTACATATGTACAGTATTCAGGGATTGTGCTGGGACTGGAATGTAGGATTCCAACCCAAAGGTTTAAAATTATTTTTAAACCCAGACCTATATTTTGGAATTGCTTTTATATCAAGACCTTGAACAAACATAAATACATGCATATATATATATATATATATATATCTGAAGAGAAACTTACCCTTTCATTGTATGAGCTACTATTCTACTGTATTGTATTGTTTCATTTTTAACTTCTCCCCTCATTCCAAAAAGCTGATCACAACCCACTGAAGTGATTTCAAACAGCTTGCAGTTTTGAAAAATCACTGAGGCCTATCCCACAGTTCTGTCATCCCCCTCTTCCCCATACCAGAGAGGGGCTGTGGATGCCGAGGTGTTACAGTGAATAATGGAAGTGTGATTGTGGGTCAGGATGTGAGTCATCATATCATCCTTACAGTGGTGTATGCTGGCAGTGGGAAATTTTAAGAGATGTTGGACTTACAAATTGAGGCTGTGTGTTAGACAAAGGCTTCATGGGCAAAGGTGACTGCAGGCATTGGATAGGCAAAAAACCCCTCAAACTCACAATTTCTTATCCACAGCCTGTTTTAAGATTAAGAATAGAATTTCTGTCAAAAGTAATGAAATTAAAAAAATTTTTTGATTGTTTTTAAAGTTGATATTTGTATATACTTGTATCTTCTTTGAATGGACATGTTTGCATTCAATTACCCAACAAAATGAATCACTTCCTTCTGACTTAAGGTACTGAGTGATCAGTGATTTCAGTGAACTGACTGGTTTTAAAATAGATACAGTAGTTGCAGATAAAAAATAACTTGTCAGCTCTGTATGTGGTCGATTTCTGTGAGTGTACCAACAAGATTTATTAATAAAGCATATGAGATTTGGTAAATAATTTTATTCTTCTAAAACCTGTGTGACATTAAATATCAGGAACATTTTTTGGTAAATACTTATTTAACTAATGTGATTTTAAGTTATTCTGATATACTCCTGTTCGTATGGTTTCTTTCAACCAGGCTAAAATCAGAAAACATGTTGACTCATCAGATTTTACTTTGAATAGTTGTTTGTTTACTTAATATTGAAATCAAGACCTAAATGAAAGATGCTTAAATTAAAGTGGCTAATATGAATATCCTCACTTTCCTAGGAGTCAGCTTTTATTGAATATCATTATTTGATTTTTACCTTATAATTAACAATTCTGCTATTACAGAGCTTCTTAAATTTGGACTTTGGCTTGAGGCTTGGAATCACTAGAAATTTGAATTTCTTTGAGCATATAAGCATTTTGTTTTTCTTGGTAAGATAATACATAGCTTTCATTGAATTCTTAAAGGGAATAGAGTGACTCAAAAAAAGCTAGCCTCTGTTATTAAAAATTAGTTAGATTGTTAAAAGTTAGCAATCTTAAACTTATTAAGCAAATTGATATTTCTGTAGAACATTAGAAGTTCTTTTTTTTTTTTTTTTGTCCTTTTTGAGACCGGCTGCACCGTGCTCAGCCAGTGAGCGCACTGGTCATCCTATATAGGATCCGAACCCGGGGCGGGAGCGCTGCTGCACTCCTAGCACCGCACTCTTCCGAGTACGCCACGGGCTCGGCCCAAAACATTAGAAGTTCTGATTAACAGCAAGGTGTGAGGGTTCCAATCCTTGTACCGACCACTCAGTACCTTAAAGTCAGAAGAAGTGATTCATTATATTGGGCAATCAAATGCAAACATCCCGTTATGAATGGGATAATTAAATATGTTCAAGTGTATAAACACGTAACCTTTATAATTCTTGATCCGATTACCTGTTTTTC